AACATTTTTTTGTTTGAATATTTTTTAATGGTGCAATTTTTGTACTTCTAAATTTCTTTCATTTGGAAATTTTTTAATTTCGCAATCTTTACAATTTTTACCTTCTCAAATTTCTTTGGTGTGTACATTTTTTATTTTTACAATTATTATATTCTTAACCTTCCTTTCATTTGTTAATTTTTCAATTGTAGAATCTTTATATTTTCAAATTTCTTTCATTTGTACATTTCTTAATTTTATAATTTTTTCATTGTTAAATTTCTTCGATCGTGCATTTATAATATAAGTATTCTTTCAAGTTCTGAATTTAACAACAATAAATTACGATCGCAGTACAAGAGGAAATATCTTCGGATTTGATATAATGTTTCCAAAGGAAGTTGCATCGAAATGTATTTTGTATCGTCTTTCGGGGAAAATGAAATGTGAAATAGGAGATGAAACATGAAATCGTCGGTAAATACTCGTGTCTTCTTGAATTTCCCAATTTTATTAAAAAACTTCTGTCTCTCTCTGTTCGGCAACAGAGTTCCATTAAATCCGATGGGCAACCCATTTCATCTGTTTCCATTGTGAAAAGGCTGCTTTTAAAGTAAAAATACACGGCAATATCATAAAATATTTCTACAACACTCGTTGTTGAAATACGATTCGATAAATTCGAATAGATGACATTTAATCAAATACAGTTGATTTCGTGTTTTCGATACGCGTTATTTTCGCCGTGTTTAAGAGAAAAAAAGATCGTCCGTCCTTTATACGAACGAGAGAGCAGGAAATCTAAACAGCTGAATTTTATAAATGATCACTGTATGACGTTCCACAGTGAAGTCATTTTTCACGCGAAGTGATGAATCTTCTCGGTAGAATACCGAGGTGTCCCAGCTTATGTTCCGTCAAATCGATATCACGAACGACGACCAACTTTTATCCTTCTTTCTGTTTTTCAAGCATCAGACAGATACCATTAACGTGTTCCTTCTACAGCCACCTCCTGAAAGCTACGCGAATTTTTCGTTTTTCAACTTCTTTAGAATAGAACTTACTTAGCTATACACTTTCGGAGCTTCCAACAGTTTGTTACTCGAGTTAACTTTAGCTAACTAATCCGTTGCTATTCTCTTCCCTTAATCAACTTCTTTTCTGTAAAACATTTCAGCCTTTTGAGAATCGAGCAATGTACTTTAATGGAATACCAATTCACAGGGTTTTTAATCGATGATTCTGAAAATACTGATGCTGGGTGCTGATGTGAATTATGAACGCAAAATTAATTTATTGCTTTGTAAAATATTTTGTTAAAATAATCCTTATTTCTGTATTTCATATTCTTTTTCCGTACAATAAAAAATTTCATACATACATTCGAGCAGTCTTAATTTTTGTCCAGCAGTAAAGTGCACTTTTAATTAAACGACGAAAAAAAAGATTACCATGATTATCGTAAAAGAAGTAATAAGACGTAAGTACATTTGGATTTAATGGTACATTTCGATTAATAGTGCACTTAGATCAGTAGCGGCGATAAGCAGTAAATTCTCGATATTCATGAACAAGATCGTTTAAAATCGTGTGTATACTGTTAAAGCCTCATAGTTAAACCGGTTAGCCGATAATAATTCGTTGGTTATTATTTACAGCTCTCTTATAGAGCTACATATCGGTTTATTGCAAGTATAAATCTGCATTAGAAGCCGCACACCTACAAGGCGATGATTAATTATTGTTGAGATCACGTTAACACTACCATTACTCATTGATAAACGTGTTAATCTTGTACAATACAGCACCATGAATATTTTCCAACCTCTATTCTACAGCATTCATCAGCATTTCGCTAACTGGCTCGTTCACAGCCTTTGAAAGCAGTGTCCTAAAAGCGGAACACGGTGTACATTGCGGTTGTTAAATGGTAATTTCATATGACACAGGATTTATTCGCCGGTTCTTGGTTCGCTGTTAGTTGATCAAGAGACTGGTAAGTTTGCTCGACACTGAATTTATGGAATTCATCCTGAACATAATTCAGAACGACGTCGCGAGCTACGGAATCTACTTTATCTGTTTTAATCTCTTCCCTCGAGATCGGTACACTTTAACGTAATGGGGATGAAAGTTATTTAATCACGTATCTATTAACTTAAGAAAAGTATTGGAAAGAGTTGTAATATTGTGGACATAAAAGGATTTTCATTGTATTTTATCGTTGATTTGTGACGTTAAAGCGTTCTGAAAATGTTTGTATGTTTCACGTGAGTGGATTTGAAAAATGTTTGTACTTCGGAACATTCATTTAAAAGCATTTTTGTAATGTTATGATTGAAGGATACTCGCTTCAAAATTTAATGGAACATTGATAAATGAGACATGAAGGTTTATAAGTAGTAAGAATTAAAAAGTCATACGACATATTTGCAACACGATGCAAAGGTTAATTCACTTCAACGTTATTCCTCCCATTCGTTGTATGCCTTCCTCATTGCAACAAAGACCGTAAGTCAGAAATTGTTGCTGTTGTCACAGAACTTTTCCTTCTGAATATCAGATCACCGATAAACAGCGAGGGACAGAAATTTTATGCCGAACCATACATTCTACCTTCGACTTTGCCCATCTTCCTCTTTCGTGTTCTCCGATTTTTCCCTCTTCGCGAAGTTGAAAATACGACGGTCTCACGATCTATGCAGATGTTCCTCTAAATCATCGAAGTCCGGGACAGGTTTGCAAGCTTGTTCCGATACGTGGTACAAGAAAGCTGTACGGAGTCACATTTTCCGTTTCTTTCATTGGCCCATAACCGTTGGTTGTGCTCGTAATGCTGAATAATTTCGTTGAGCGATTAAGGTGGATAAAAACGTACGAGTTACGATTGTCATTCGCGACATTCTCTGTCCACGTGGTCGTAATTGCAACGGCATAATTCACGCGTAACTGACCGTCCGCTTCGATTATGAATAAAACATACACTTATAAAATGACGTTCTCGCGAGCGTGTTACGCTCGATATCACCGAAGGGATACACGCTGCGGGCCGTGGTATTTGAATAATGAATTCATGGTCAAATGAACGAACGCTTTTTCCATGAACCCCCGTTTGTTCTTGCTGAAGTCCGCGACGGCGATGCAAATGATGCTTTAACGCGTTCGCTCTCGCGGGAATCGGTCCGTGAGCGGTATTGCGAATTTATCGGCCAGTTTAGAGAACGTGTCTGAATTTTTCTCTGAATTTTGCATACCGAAGGCGAATTGTTTGATACCACTTCCGAGATTCCGGATTTTCAAGTTTGGTGATTTAAAGATTTTGAAATTTTTTATTTTGGAACTTGGGATTTGCAAGTTTGAAAATTTAGAAATATGTAATATTTCACATATATTACTTCACAAATATGTGATCTTTGTAATTTTCAATTATCCACATTTTCGAATTTATACATTCAGAAATTTATTATGATAGCTTGGTGGATTGAATATTTAGAAATTTGGAAATATTAAAATTTTCTAGTTGGGTCATTCCACGCCAAATTACTTTTGGACTTCAAACATTGTACTCCCAAAATTTGCATGTACAATTATATCGAATTCTACACATATCATTAAAGTGCAATTAAGCTTGAAATGGAAGCACGGTGAATTTCACTTTCGGAAAAAATACACGAAATCGTGCGATATTAACGCGGTATAACGCTAGGTTATATTGAATTTCATGCAATATCGGAACCATTAATCAAATATTGAGATGGAAATGGTCAGCACATGTGAAACCCGCATAAAATTGTAGCACTACTTAAATATTAACTCTCACGCGTTTGTTGTATTTTCAGTATTTTTAACGTTGAACATTGTTTTTGCTTCGGTTAATCGAAATTTTATTATATATGTGAGAGAATCTTAGAAGATATTGATTTTAAAACCCCAATCAGTACCAAATAGTATATAATTACCTAAGTAAATTATACAAAAGAGTTATTTAATGATTTTTACTAATAATTCATGTGTGATGATTTTGAAAACATATATGAAATATTGTGCATTTACTGATGACAACTCATGAGTTGGCGCGTGAAGAGATTACCCAGGTGATTAGAAGAGTTACGGCTCCGATTGGTCAGAATAGAATCACTGTATTTATGAATCTGCACATTTTCGAGTACCTACATTTCCAAATCTCTACATTTCCAAATTCCAACATCACCAAATTGCTATATTCCCAAATTCCTACATCTCCAAATCAGTAGATTCTCAAATCGCTACATCCTCAAATCACAACGTCCCCAAATCCCATCATTTCCAAATTCTTATGTATCCAAATCGCTATATCCCTAAATTCCTACGTCCCCAAATTCCCACATCCCAAATTCCCATGTCCCCAAATTCCCATGTCCCCAAATTCCCATGTCCCCAAATTCTCATGTCCCCAAATTCCCATGTCCCCAAATTCCCATGTCCCCAAATTCCTACGTCCCCAAATCACTACGTCCCCAAATTCCACCATTCCCAAATTCTTATGTGCCCAAATCGTTATATCCCTAAATTCCTACGTCCCCAAATTCCCTCGTCCCCAAATTCCCATGTCCTCAAATTCCTACGTCCCCAAATCACTACGTCCCCAAATCCCACGATTCCCAAATTCTTACGTGCCCAAATTGCTGTATCCCCAAATTCCTACGTCCCCAAATTCCCACGTCCCCAAATTCCTACGTTCTCAAATCTCTCCTTTCCCAAATTCTTACATACCCAAATTACTATATCCCAAAATTCCTACGTGCCCAAATCGCTATATTCCCAAATTCCACATCCCCACATTTCTCCATTGCCAAATTCTGACATACCCAAATCGCTATATCTCAAAATTCCTACATCCCCAAATCACTACGTATATAACGCTGAAATTATTCACGGTGTAGATAGAACTTCTCTTACTTTGTGTCCTCATGCACCAACTCGCAGGTTGACATCTATATCTCATACATTGTCTTTCATAAACGACATGCTTGTTGCAGAACTCTTTAGAAATGCTGCAGAGGCTGGACCTCTGGACATCGTGAAGCTTCGCGAAGGAGATAAACTGCTCAACATTTCGACCAGTTTGCCGGCGAACACACCAGACTCACCCTATGTTCTTCAGGTAACGATTCAGCCACCGTACACAGCTGTCTCGGCGATTTCAACTCGTTCTCGGTTCACCAAATCTTTTGCCAACGTTTCTCGTTAAATTGTGTAATTCAGCGTGCCTCCATGGCCCTCCTCGGTCTTTTAACATCGAACGAGCGTCGTTTCAAAAGGATTGAATTGAAAAACTTCAACGCAACGCTGAAACGTAATTACTTCTTAATTCTTCCCTCTGGCCATTTGCTTGAGAGTATTCGTTGAAAAAATGCGGATTTTTCATTAAAATGTACAGGCGAAATTCAATCTGTAATAATTGCACCTTTAACGGGATAAATTATTAATACTCATAATTCGTCATTGAAACGCTTATTCGTTATATTAAAGCCTTTCTGGAATTCGTCGTTCAATTAACGGTCGAATTACCGTAGTCGTTTTAAGACATTGCAGATAGAATCGCACGATTCTGCTGCTTTCAATTCGAATCAACTGAATTAGAACCTTCTCGAGATTTCTTGAATAGCTTCATTCGATAAATGCTTGGCTCGTTGATCAAAATGGTACTTTACGGCGTGAAATTAATCGAATACTCGGGTGCACGCTTCTTTTAGATGAAAATAGGGACGAGTGTAGGGGAAATAACACTTCACCGCTTGATTTCGATTTTGGAAAATTAACATACACGAACTTGAAACTTCAGTCTCTATATTTTTGTGATCAAACTTCTTAATTTTCACCTTTGTGAATTGTATTTTTAACGTGATCTTTGTTCCTTTTTACATTAGAAGCTTAAAAGTTCCTCTAAATTTGATCATTAAAATACTTGTAAAATTCTCAAGCTTCTAAATAAAGACAACTGTTTTTACACCCTTAAAATGTCAGACTAAAAAGTTTCTTGTTCGCGTGCATAAAAGGTTCGTCCAAATAACATGCAAACGCTGACACCACGTAATTCCTCACGAAAAAGCAAACAAAAAATGTAACATCACATTTTTTTCATTTCAGCTTAGTTTTCGGGAAAATCGTATTTGAAGATCTTTTCATTTTTTTACTTTTATGACAAGGCCTCTGGCGCGTGACATTATGCTTATAAATGATGTCTTAAATGTGGGATCATAAGTTATGGTAGAAATACAAAATACATGTTACATGCATACTTAATACTGTTATAAATTACTAAACTTAATCTTTACAGGGGTGAGATTAGTAGTCACAGCAATATTGGTCTAAAAATTTGTAATATTGATCGTAGTCTTCCGAGATAATCCTTTTAGGATAGCAACTCTAACACTCTATCGAACTCAATAATTATTTACATACATAACTAAAAATATTCTAAAAAGTGTCAATTTTCGAAGGAAAAGTTTAGGTTCTTTCCCCAAAGGTTACTTAGAAATTAATAATGATAAGTAAGTAAACAAACGATAAATTAACACTCGACAAAATTCAGCTTTCAAGAAAATGTGAACAAATCGTGTGCCATAATGGGAATTTCTAAGCCGGTTTAGTAGCTTTAGCTTTCCCAAGAAACAAGTCGAAAATCAAATTCTATCCCATGTATTTTCTCCCTTTTTGCACAAAGAATTGCGTGGTCGTTACGTGTTATTCGTCCGGAGACTGTAGTTTTTTGTCGGTGCAGCTTGATGGTTGTAAAAAGTGTTTTCTCTTTGGAAGATTGTCGGAGCGCATCCGGCCTCGTCGGGAGTGATCGAGGCGGAAGTGCTGTGGGCTCTCGAGAGACGCGTGGCGGCCTTGGAAAGGCAACTTCGGGAGCATCAAGAAGCTCTATACGCGTCACCATCGTTCGCTCTTCGTGAACTGAAGCGGCAAGTGGACAGTTTCAAGAACAAGTTGGAGCACAACGATCAGCTTAGTTGGTTGAGTAAGTTTCTTACCAAATAAACTGCCGTTTCTTCCGAGACTTTTGCGAATTTATCGGAACTGCGAAATACAGGGTGTCGCATCGAACATGCGAACGAACGTATTTTCACTGCTAATCGAGGTATGTAGGAAAAAGTTGAAGGACTCAGAATTTTTTTAGGATCACACCCTGATATCGTAGTTAATTTTAGTTACTTTTTAACCCCTTACAATATTGTCCATATGTAACGCACTCAATCGAAGTCAAATTAATATTCATTTTTAATATTCGAAGTTTTAATACACCTGGAGTTTAATTACAATTATAATTTGCATAGTCGAGGATTACAAGATTGATATAAAGATTTAATTTTTATTCTCTGTTTTAATATAGTAGTGATTTGTTAGTTCTGACGCAGCAAATAAATCGTGAGACGAGGGGTGCCTCTTGTGTAATATCACGACGCACTCATGACGCACACTGTTTATAGATCGACGTATATATTTATTATCATTGAAAGTTCAGCTTATAAATTTAAGTTACTAATAATGTTACTAATAATCAAATGACTGTTAGTAGCAGCAATAATTTTGGACTCATAAGTTGAACATATTCACTTTGCCTCCCTTGAACATACACTGCTTCATTTAAATATATTTACAATTCAAGAAATTTATTTGTTTCATTTTTATGAACACAACCAATAATATTTGGTTAGACTCAAAAATTTTGAAGAGATCGCTTCTAAAATTTTGTAAAGATCGGTTAATAAATTTTGAGAATTCTAGGTTAATTTAAAAAAGGGAACTTTTAAAATAATTAACGAAATGTCTATTTGCACGAAGACACAATAATGACCGTTTCGTGAATAAATGACAAAGTGTACGTAACTAAAGGTATGTTTTCATTTATATTTTGTAAAACTGCGCTTTCGTACGTTTTCATTTCCTGCCCCTTTTGCGGAAAACGAAGTATTTAATAATAAACGGGGAAACATTTTGAAAGCAAGTTCGCTTTATAGTCGACTGAAATACGTAAAATTCGAACAGAACAGAAACGTAGGTTATCCTTTTCATTTTGTATATTTTACCGTGCAAGCGTGATTGGTTTTTACACAACTGGCTGAAACCTTCTATAGAAAATAACGAACAAAGTGACGGAAGACAATTCCGATCGTTCTGAGTTTTCGATTTCCTTTCGATATTGGTTTTTTTCGCCTTTTATTTCATAGCGCGACGCAGAACGGGGGTTTTCTTGATTATTTTCATCGATGGTCGAATGGAACTGCGACAAACACGACACGGATTCAAATTCGTTAATTTGAAGTCGATAGATCAGTTCTGTTCGTTCATACGGATAGTTTACGAATTAGGACCAATTTTCCTACAGTTCATAGATTCAATATATTGATAAAACGTTTCTAACGACTTAAACCCGACTATGATAACGATTCACCGTGGATTTAAAAATCGTTATTCTAATCGACGATATTTTCAATATGGTACACAGATATAGTGCTTTCAAAAATGGTTGCAATCCGCTTATTTTTCCATAAAAAAATAAACTAAATTCTGTTTATCGATCGCGGAAACTCGATAGAAAGTTTCACAATAGTTTCAATAGTCAATCGAGCTTCGTTGATTCGATAGAAATCGAACTTTATCGATATTGAACGTACAAACTCGATGTTTTCAAAAATTGATATTCGCTTATTCGTTGATTGAATGCCAATAGATCTTTTAGCTATAAAAGCATGAAACCTTGTTATGATTAGACAAATTCTTGTCATCTCATCACTTCTTTCTTCAAAAAAATTTATCAATCATTTGATGTTAGTAGAATCGCTATTTTAAGAAATGATATATTTTTTAATACTTCTTTTCACAAATGCGATGGCAAAATTTTCATATAGCTAATATTGTTAATTTTCATCGATTTCATAGTTCAGTACAAAAAAGTGATATGGCTGCAAAGTCATGAAATAACTCTGAATATTGCACAGGGTATATTTTTTAATAAATGAATAAAAATTGCTATCTATATTTTTCATTGATATGACGCTCGAAATCTACTCCGATTACAAGAACGTCGTTTTTCGCGAATTTCTTTTTTTATCGCCGCGTTCTTCCCTCAGGATGAAAAATTTCCATACACCTGAATGATTAAAAAAATGTTCTGACGCTTCTGATGGTTCTGTTGATCTGACGAAGTCGATAGATATACGCGCAGATAAATAGCTCCTGGGTCGAATACGCCTACCGCTGAATAAATATTTGCCTGTGCAAAGAACCGTCGCAGTTATTCCTATTTTCGGTTTCTAGCCTAACGCGTTTACAGGGTATTTCAGAAATGGATGATCAAACTACAGTGATAAAACGTCGTTACGGGATCAACCGTGACCTCAAACATCGTACTTTAACAGAGGAATCTTGATAGATAGCTTAAACGTGACAAATCGTGAATATTGTTTCTGGTTATTAAGCACTGAATTCGTTCAAAATTTTTGTCTAAAATTTTGCATGGAAAATTCCAAAAGTTATGAGACTGAGAATATATTGAGCACGTGTCTTACGCAATGGTACAAATTTAACTCGAGTTTAAAATCAACCCTTATTGCGCTCTTTTTTGATCTTATTTTTTGCAGTTTGAGGTTATTTAAAACAAAAATTATTTCTATTTATTTAATTTAATAATTCCAACTATTTATCAATTTTTATTTCTAGCTTGTAATTTATGATTATTTAAAATAAAAATTGTTTTAGTTATTTATTAAATTTAATAATAATTGCAGATATTTTGTTTTCATTATGTCGCTCTAAAATTGTAAGAAATTTTATGAAGTATCGTGCAATAAATTCGTTTTCTTTTATCACAAAAAATAGCCGATGGAGCGGCCTTACAACTGCACAATCACCATGGAAACGACCCCAAAATCTCACCTCCAATCTTTCCTCCTTGTCACGAGAATACAATTTTTTCCACTTTTCGTCTCGTAAACGAACTTCCACGTCGAAAAAACGCAACACTTTTCATGTCGGAAGCTTTTACGTTCTTAATTTACTTTCAGTCACCAGCGCTTTTATTTCTTACTAAACCATTCGGACAGCACCCGATTCCGTTGATAATTTTTTCTTAAAATTTTTCTTTCAAACACGAAGCCCGGTTGCAACGACATTACGCATTTATTTTAATATTATCTGTTCGATCATGTTCAATCCATTCCATTCACGGGTGGCTATCGTGACGTTCAACGTATTAACCATTAACGGAGTGGCTAAGTGACGTAGGGAGCGTAAAATCGATCTGAAACTGCTTTTCAATCAATCAGAAACACGGGCTGCCCGTCTGACAGCAAAACGTGGTACATTTCATGGTTCAATCTAACGACCGCTGTCACTTTCAGGTTTCTACAAACAGCTTCCGGAGCCGATCTACGCGGATTCCTGTCGCAGATTGCAGTATCGTCGGAAAAGCGACAGCATGAAGCGGAAAGTGCGGGAAAAGTTCCTCAATATCTGGTAAGTCGATATTTGCTCCTTTTTACTGGGATTACATCGAGACACTGTTCACTCTTCTGCTTTTAACTTTCGTTTTACTCGAAGATGGCGAATTATTTTGACAAGGATAATAATTCTTGCTTTCGGACCACGTACGAAAATTTCGCTTTTATGGCTATATTACATATATAATATGGAAAATTGTCGTGGGTCATATAAATTATTACTAAATTCGTTGATAATGATATATTGTAAGAGTAAGTGGACAATGGTTTAGGGCCACCATAAATTAAGGAGTTCCCCCTCAGAGTGTTTCGGCATCATGTTTGTGGGGGATGCGTTACCTTCAGGAAAGTCTGAGAACGGTACATTTTTATTAGCGATTTTTAGGGAACGTGAAGAGAGAAGTCGTACGATATTATTTATTAATTCTGTGTGCAGCATAGACCATCCTTGCAATATGTATAGAAATTAGTTACTGTCGTGACAATAAATTGTAACTTGTGTATCAGTGAGGTGAAAGGTGAATAGAAAATGGCGCCTCAAAAGGCTAGATTACAGTTCTTTGTACAGTTTTATCTTCAAAAATGTGAAAAACGTTAAAAATATTATACAGTGATCTTCAATGGCCAAGAACTTAGTTCCTACTCGATGCGACTTGTTGTAAAATATTAATTGAACGTTTATGATTGATTCGAGAAACGATCTAGCGGGTGCAGGATATATGGAGTTCGTAAAATTTGATTAGTTCTGGCTAATTGCTTTGATAGTTCGAAATTGCGGAGTTTATAGTTTGAGACATTCGAAGTTTACGGAATTAGAAATGCTTCTTGATGCTTTGGCGAGAGCAATAGGTAAACGGCATACACTTGGAAGACGAGTTGGGGCTGCAGATGAAGTTAGGTTAGGTTGCGTCTGGAGAACAATGAAAGGTTTCCTGAGCTTTGTTAAGATACTTCGGATACGACAGCGTACTTTTAAACTGATCAAATATGTCTTCATTTTCTGGTTGTGAAGTTTAAGTGTTGAAACACATGACCGTGGCTTTGATGTCAACGAAATTTAATTTCTAGGTTTCCAGCTATCTAGATTTCGAAATTTTACAATTTAATTCTAAATTTGTAGGCTTTCAAGTTTCTTAATCTTTTAATTCAATAATTTTCCAATACGTATATCCTCAATTTGCAACATTCCAAAGCCGGAAATTCGCAAAGTTCTAAATTCCTAAATTACCAAATTCTCAAGTTCCCCTAATTCTTAAACTACCAAATTCTCAGGTTTCCCATATTCCTAAACTACCAAATTTTCAAATCCCCAAATTCCTAAACTACCAAATTTTCAATTCCTCAAATTCCTAAACTACAAAATTCTCAAGTTCTCTAAATTCCTAAACTACCAATTTGTTAAATCTCTAAATTCCTAAACTACCAAATTTTCAAGTCCCCAAATTCCTAAACTACAAAATTCTCAAGTTCCCTAAATTCCTAAAGTACCAAATTTTCAAATCCCTAAATTCCTAAATTACCAAATTGTCAAATCCCCCAATTCCTAAACTACCAAATTTTCAAATCTCTAAATCCCTAAATCCCTAAATTCCTAAATTCCTAAATCCCTAAATCCCTAAATCCCTAAATCCCTAAATTTCTAAATTTCTAAATCTCTAAATTCCTAAATTCCTAATTTCTCCCAAACTTGTTTTCCCTCCCAAAATTTAAATTTACAATCCTCCATTGCGAAATTCAAACGTTGTGTACTGCATGTAAAATGAACGCACATATATCTTATTGTTAGATATCATAGTTCCACACACATGAATTTCGCCTTCCTAGAATCGAATTTCGTGAAAGATATTTATCTTAACGTGGATTCCTATCTTGGATTATTCCGTCACGAAAACGATACTATCGTTTCGTCGTTGATGATTAATTTCCTTCTCCGAGAGACGTTTACCGTGATTTACCTAAGTTGCTTGAGTAATCCTTCCTGTTCGTAGTTCGAACACGTTGTGTTTGAAATGACAACTGAAAGATGAGAAGAGCAAATAATTTGATGTTGACTTTCTGTGTAACTTTCGATGGAACAAGAGCAATTTGTAAATCTTGATAAAGTCATTGTATAATGGAACTCAGTAATTATATCGATTTTCTATTTTCCAATTTCTATGTATTTATATCTCTAAACTTTTTAGTTTTTAAATTTCTAAATTCTTAAATTTAAAATTTCCAAATTTTGACCTTAAAAAATTGTCAAGTTTAACAATTCTTAAATTTTGCAATTTCTTGATTTCTCAGTTTCTCCTATTCTTAGTTTGCAAATTTATAAATTTTCAAATTAATCTAATCTTCAATTAGTATTTCATTTTATTACGAATATGTAAAATGCGCAATTCGAGTTGACAATCGGCTCTTCATTTATCCTACTACCATTTACAAACCATATCAAAACCTTTACTAAAAGTATTTCAAACTAATTTTCCAGCACTCCAAAATCCTACGTCAGTTATTACAGTTCAAAAAGTCCACTTCGACGTTGGAATGTTAAACTGCAAAATTGCATCGTCAAACAGCCAACGTTGACATTTGAAAGTAAAATTTATTTAACATAAAGTGGTATGTAAATGAAGAAATATCTTCCAAAATAATTCCAACAAATTTCATATTAAACGCTATTCGCTACCATCAAATTTATTGATATAATTATACTTTGTGAGCGAATCATTCGTTTTGCATAAAAGCGGGATTTATTATGGCTGTGTAAAGTTTTATACAAGTATATTTTTCAATATGAGGGATTAGTGGCTAGCATATGGATTTGCATGAGAAATTCAGTCGAAAAAGCCGGAATTTATTTTATATTTCCCAGCAGCGTTCGCAGTGGATATTCAAAGGGGGTGAATTGGTATTTCCATGCAGTTTTTGATATTTAAATATGTCCTCAAATTGAACGTGTGTAATTGAGTGCAGCATGCTTTCAGTCTGTACCAGTGTGGAATATGAAACAAATTATTTATTCTCTTTGAAGACATAAATTACTGAATCTATCTGTTTAAAAACACTAAAACTATCCAATCGACTGATCAAGTTTCTTACTTCAAATTTGTTCTTTTTAATTAACCTTATTTTCTCAGATCTTTTGATAGAATGTAAGAAAAATGAACTCTAATCAATTTAGAATATCTGTGGTTTCAATTTGGAAATTTTCAATGACTGTATTTTGAAAATATTCTACATAGTAAGTCACTGTTTTAAGTACGCCGTTGATGGTCAGCCATTTCATGTACCAACTCATGGGTTGTCATCGGTACACGTCACATGTAATTTCAATATTAATCATATTACAAATGAAAGGATAATGATTCTTGCCAGAATCGATACTCACTCTGCATGAATTGAATTACCGTTAACAGTATGCGTGTTTCGCCAGGTATGCACGATACAATCGAAATAAGCTGATTAAAACGATTGTTTCTACTCAAAATGGAATTATTTCACCTGTGACCAATTGTTAGAATTGTCAAGTTTAATCTGCTTTTGACGAATCACATTCAAGGATTAAGCGACACTGTGGTTACTTGTTCGTGCCCGATTTTATCGAATTTCCGAGCGAAATATACATTTTAACCTGAGTTGCCTGGGAAACAAATTTGCTGGCTAACTAGATTTATTTGCAAAAATGATGTTCGCTTGTTGCCGCGTTCTTTGCAGAACAATGTACAGTGGTAGAGTAGCTCGATAACATTATTATACCACTGTCGAGGAAGCTTTGTGTTTGTCTTAACTAATTGGGTTAATTTTAACTACCGCTCGAAGGAGACTTAACTTCGTTAAACATGATTCTACTTTCAAATGTTTCTCGCACAAACTTATAATACGCAGGTACAATCGAGAAATCACTTTCTTAATAACTGTCGTAATTATCAGAAATTTCAAGAATTACGTTTAGTTTCATACTAGGATTCTTTTTTAATTCTTGATGTATCCAAAGTTACAACTTCTTTAGTAGACAGTTTCATATTGGGACTCATTTTTTAATTCTTCGTATACGAATCCAAAGTTACTTCTTTAGTAGAAAGTTTCATATTAAGCTACATTTTTTAATTCTTGATTTACGAATTCAAAGTTACAGCTTCTTTACTAGGAAGTTTCATATTAGAATTCATTTTTTAATTCTTCATGTATCCAAAGTTACAGCTTCCTCCGTAGATGTTGTTTGCATCTAGTCATTTAGTTATATACATTTTTTTAATAATTATGAATTATAATTAATTCGAAGATTTATAGAAACTGCAAAATTCTAAAATTCAAATATTACCAAATTTTCAAGTCTCGACACTTCTGACTTTCAAAATTGTACAGTCTGAAAATGAAAATATGGCTTCGAGCGACTAGAGTTTATTTTGCAAGGTACTTGATAACTCGAGTGTCTCCGATGTTTCGTTTCACAAAAGCTAGGTGTGGGCGTACAATTTTTGTGACATTGTGGAAAAACAGTTTCTAAGTTTCTATTGGTTTAGCTAAAATTCGAATATGGAAAAGGACGTAGTGGGTGTGAATTTTCCATAAAGTGACCATAGCAAATACCGTGACACGAAGAGAAAACTGCAAAGGACTCTGCTGCTTTAAGGGTTCCAGATGTGACTAATAATAAATCAAAAAATACTCGCTAGAATGACTCCTAGGATCTTATTACTGCTGTAAGAAATTGAAACCACAAATGTGAAGAAACGAAAAATCGTTAAACTATTATTTCGCCAGAAATTTGAACCGAGAATCCCCTCGCTGTAACATGCGACCTAACAAAATTCAAAGTGCGTCATAAGTATTTCCGCGAGTTTACGCTCCTGCAGTAGTACAAGTCGACGTGTAGTCAGCCGCATATATTTCGTACGTACATTTTCCGTGAACAGAACTGGTTCTCTGTTATAACACTCACTAGGATCTTGTTACGGTGAATAAATAGTGCTTCTTGCATAATATCGAGACTTCCAAGCACCTGTTATCGATACTTTCCTTAACATAAAC